TGGTTAGTGATATATGTCGTTAGATTTCTTAACTGCTGCTTCCATGAGTATTGATTGTGGACCCAAGTAAAATGAAGTCTTTGACAACTTCAATCTTTTCTCCATTTATGATGATGTTATTTATTGGCCCAGTTGTGGAGATTTTTGTTATCTTTGTATTTAGATGCAGTCCATCCTGAAGACTGTATTCTTTGATCTTCATTAATAAGTACTTCAAGTCTTCCTTTTTTCTAGCAAGTAAAGTGGAGTTATTTGCATATTGCTGGTTGTTATTGAGTCTTCCTTCAGTCCTGATGCCATGTTCTTCATATCAGTTTCTCATAAGGAGCTCTGGTAGCGTAGTGGTTACGAATCGGGCTGTGAACCTTAAGGTCAGCGGTTCGAAACTACCAGCCTCTCCGCGGGAGAAAGATGAGGCTTTCTACTCCCGTAAAGGTTTACACCCTCGGAAACCCTGTACAGGGTCGCTATGGGTCGGACCCGACTCGATGGCACTTAACAACAACAACAACATACAGACTGAACAAGTATGGTAAAGGGATACAATCCTGCTTTTAAGTCATTCGGTATCCTGTTTTTATGTTCAAACAACTGCCTCTATGTATGGTTCCACATGAGTACAATGACGTATTCTGAAGTACTCATTCTTCACAATATTATCCATATTGTTGTTGTTAAGTGTAAATGTTAAAGTGCTATTGAGTTGGTTCTGACTCATAGAGACCCTGTATAGGGTTTCCCAGGAGTAACTGGTGAGTTTGAACTGCCAGCCTTGCAATTCAAATCAACCATGTGGTCGAGTACTTATCCTGCAACACCACACCAAGAATCCATAGTTTGTTATTATCCGAACAGTGAAGTGTCTTTGCATAGTCAATAAAGCACGAGTAAACATCTTTCTGGTATTCTCTACTTTTAACCAAGATTCATCTGATGTTAGCAGTGATATCTCTAGTTCCACATTCCTGACATCGACAATGATATCTATAGTTCCATATCCCCTTTTGAAACCAGACTGAATTTCTTGCAGCTCCCTATAGATATACGGCTGTAACCATTTTTGGAGTATCTTTAGCAAAATTTTACTTGCATGTGGTATTAATGATATTATCTGATGATTTTAACATTCTGTTTGGTTACCTGTCTTTGGAATGGGCATAGATATGGATTTTTTCCAGTCAGTTGGCCAGATTAGCTGTCTTCCAAATTTCTCGGCATAGACACATGAGAAGCTCCAGAGCTGCATCAGTTTTATTGAATATTTCAATTTGTATTCTGTCAATCCCTGGAGCTTTGATTTTGCCAGTACCTCCAATGCAGCCTAGACTTCTTCCTTCAGTACTTGGAACGTATACTATCTCCTGAAATGGTTGAGCATCAACCTTTTTTGGGGGGTGGGGTATAGTGACTGTGTATTCCTTCCATTTTCTTTGGCTGTTTCCTGCCTCATTCAGTATTTTGCCCATAGAATCTTTTAGTACCTTGACTTTTTTCTTCAGTTCTTTCAGCTTGTGAAATGCTGATTGTGTTCTTCTCTTTTGATTTTCTATGTCCAGGTCTTCAATTATTTCATTATAATATTTTACTTTGTCTCCTCAAGCCACCCTTTGAAATTTTCTGTTCAACTCTCTGCTTCCTCATTTCTTCCAGTTTCTGTAGCTTCTCTGTGCTCAAGAGCAAGTTTTAGTATCTTCTGACATTCATTTTGGTCTTTTGCTTTCTTCCTGTATGGTATTTGTGTTGTCATCCCACAGCTCTTCTGGTTTTTAATCATTAGCTTCTAATGCATCAAATCTGTTCTTGAGATGGTCTCTAAATTCAGATGGAAGACATTCAAGGTTATGTTTAGCTTTCATGAACTTATTTTAATTTTCTTAACTGCAGCCTCAACTTGCATCTGAGCAATTGATGGTCTACTCCACAGTTTGCCCCCGGTCTTGTTTTGACTGGTGATATTGACCTTGTCTATCATCTCTTCGCACGGATGTAGCCAATTTGATTACTGTGTTTTCCATCTGTTGAAGTTCATGTGTACAGTCATCTTTTATGTTATTGAAAAAGGTAATTGCAATGAATAATTCATTGGTCTTGCAAAATTCTGTTATATGATCTCCATTGTTGCTTCTGTCACCAAGGCTGTATTCTTCAAGTACTGATCCTTCCTCTTTGTTTCCAGTTTCTGCAATCAAATCACCAGTAATTATCAATGCATCTTGATTGCATGCTTGTTCTATTTCAGATAGAAGTTGGCAGAATTCTCCAATTTCAGCTTTATTGACATCGTTTAAAGAGATAGTGTTTTATATCCAAGTTTGGTAAATTATAAAATGTACAAGCAGCTATAGAAGATACAACTATTGGTCTCTTCCTGTCTACAGCAAATATTGAAAGAAGCAGTTTATCTAATGGACCACAGGAATCACAGCCTACATCACTCAGACCAGAGGAACTAGATAATGCCACGCTATCACTACCTACTCCTCTGACTGGGATCACAACAGGGGCCCCAACAGAGTGAGAGAATAATATAAAATAGAAAAGCAAATTCACAAAATAGCTCAGGGTCACTGTTCTGACAGAAACTCAGTAACCCTCAAGAATATGGCCAAAGATAGCCTTGTGACATCTAACTGAAGCCACTTTTCAGCTAAACAATAGACAGGCTCATAAGGTGAACAATGACTTCTGAGAGGAATGTGTTCCTTAGAACAATAAATTTCACAAAATCAAAGAACATTTTCCCAAAAGCAAAGATGAAAAAGTAAGAATGTGTAGAAAAGCCCTCCAAAGGAAACAGAATCCGGGCTGAAGTGGAAAGAGTGCTGACACATTGTGGGGAATACAACCAATATCATGGAACTCTTCATAAACAGACTCTAAAATGGGAAGTTAATATGCTTCAGAAACTTTCACCTGAAGCACAATAAAAAAATTAAAAACAAAAACAGCAGGTTACTACTTCCCTGGTATTTTATAAAGTAGGTTCAGTATTTAAGTACACACCGTGGGTAAATAAGGTGGTGAACGCTGTCAAAAGCATGGTTTGCAGAATTTTTTAATGAAGATTTTACCTGAAAGAACCCTGGTTGTACAGTAGGTTAAGCATTGGGCTGCTAATTGCAAGGTTGATAGCTCAAGCCCACCAAACTAATGGGAGAACATTGAGGCTGTCTGTTCTCTTAAAGGTTTATAGTCTCAGACATCCAAAGAAGCAGTTCTACTCTGTCCTCAGAGGGTTGCCTTGAGATGGAATTGACTCAGTGGCAATGGGTTTGGTTGTGGTAGCTCCCTGAAACAGATCGAGCCTACACATTTCAAAAAGTTCAACTCAGAATTAAGTAAGATTAGCAGACAATACGTGAGGTTTTTTAAAACACCTCTTTAAAGTTCTCTAAAGCAATGATTCCTCTCTGATGACTAAGATGCATCTGACCCAAGTCTCCTTGCAGTTGTTTCATATGCATGTGTAAGCTGGACAATGGAAAAAGAAACCAGGAAAAGATTTTATGTATGTAAATTTTGGTGTTGAGGGAGAATATTGAATATGCTATATTGTAGACTGCTGGAAGAACAAACAAGTCAGTATTACAAGAAATACAATTGGAATGCTTCTTGGAAGCCTTTGTTTGCTTACTTTGGATATGTCATCAGGAAAAGACCAGTTACTAGAGAAGGACATTATGTTTGGTAAAGTAGAGGTTCAGCATAAACAAGGAAACCCCTCAATGCGATGTATTGATACAATAGCCTGAACAAGAGGCTAAGACATATTAGAGATCATGGAGATGGTATAGGAGCAGGCAGTATTTTGTTCTGCTGCTATATAAGGGCTCCAGGAATTGAGCTGACTTCACATCTTATCAACTACTTACCCCATAGAATTGCTTTTACTGAGTTGGGTAATGAAGTAATGCAGTCAGGCCATATTAATGGATAGCTTACAGTTTCATAGAATATGTTCCATTTGTCTATTGTACGGGTACAGTATCTTAACCACATTATTATATTACACAATTTCCCTCTTAAAAGTCTTTGATAAAGACATGTCTTATCAGAACAATTGTGCTTTTCCTGGGCAATTAATTTGTTTATAAGAATAGATACAAATTTGTGATTCACCTTTCGCAATTATATAGAGCTTCACAGTACATTTAGATATTAGGTTCATTCATGACTGGAATGTGTTTCTTTAGGCTTGTTTCTTTTCTGTGTCTTACTTTCAGATTATCATTCATTTGCATTATATGCTTTCTTCCAAGCTACCATATCATTTTTTGAAATTAGGTGAAAAATATGTCACATTTATACAGGCCAATAAAAGTCCTAAGATATGTTTGTTGTTGTTATTAATTACCATGGCGTCGGTTCCAACTTATAGTGACCCCTGTACAGGGTATCCGAGGTTGTAAATCTTTATGGGAGCAGACAGCCTCATCTTTCTCTCACGGAACAGCTGGTAGTTTCAAACTGCTGACCTTGAGGTTAGCAGCCCAATTTATAACCAAGGTAAGTTTAGATAATAAAAATTAGAAATACCAATCAAGGCTTCAAACATTGAAATGATCAGGAAGATGGTAAAGGACTTGACAATGTTTCATTTTGTTATACATAAGGGCACCTGAGTTGGAGCTGATGCAACGAAAAATGCTAGCTGACTCAAGGCTCCATATTTATATTTTGCAACAGTGTGTTTAGCAAGATTTTATTAGATTCCTATTTCCTTTCAAGCTCAGTTCAACAATTGCATTACAGTCTAATTTAACATGGATGTGGTTAACATTTTAAATCTTTGAAATCTATCTCCTCTTCAATTAAAGCACTTGTGATATTGCAGACATTGTAATCCAATATACAAGGCTATGAATAAAGCTATATTGAATTTTATAAACGCAGGACTGAAAACCTGGAGGGGAATGAATCTCTCACCTATTTATGGTAATTAATGAACACTATTTTTCACATATGGTATAATGTTTTGGGGTTTGTTGTTTAATTTTCAGATCTCTTGCAGCTGAGTGGGGTAAATATGGAATGCGATTCAACATAATTCAGCCAGGACCCATAAAAACCAAAGTAAGTTTTAGCTTGTTTATGACCAGATTGTGACTAACAGAGGAATGTGATATTGATAGATATGTTCTTACTGTTTTGTGAGGGAGTTTCCTGGAATATGGGAGTTTGGAGTCCTAGTGGTAGGAGAGCAGGTTTTACCATTTTACTATGTAAGAAACAAAGAGGGACAGGAATGCAACAGCCAAGCAACTTCTTATTGCTGTTGTTAGGTGCTTTCCACTCACAGTGAACTTGTTTACAACAGAAGGAAACACTGTCCAGTCCTGTGCCATCCTCACAGTTGGTGCAATGTTGTAACCCTTTGTTGCAGCCACTGTGTCATTCCATCTTGTTTAGGGTCTTCCTCTTTTTCTCTGACTCACTACCAAGACTGTTGTCCTTTGCTAGGTATGTGTCTTTCCTGATAACATGCCCACGGTACATAAGATGGAACCTCAATATCCTCCCTTGTAAGGAGTATTCTAATTGTGCTTCTTCCAGCATAGATTTGTTTGTTTTTCTGATGGTCCAGGGTGCAGAATTCAGTATTCTTCACTAACACCATAATTCAAACGCATCCATTTTCTATTGGTCAAACGCATCCATTTTCTATTGGTCTTCCTTATTTGTTGTCCAGCTTTCACACAAATTAGGTACACTTCAGTCCTCATGGTGACATCTTTGCTTTTTAACATTTTGTAATATTTAATGGCTCCTTGGTGGTGCTGTGGGTTAGGTGTTAGACTGCTAACTGCACAGTTAGCAGTTCAAATTCACCAGCCACTGTGCAAGAGAAAGATGAAGCTGTTGGCTCCTGTAAAGATTCACAGTCTCAGAAACCCTAAATAGAGACACTGTGAGTCAGAATCAGCTCAAGGGCAGTGGGTTTCAGTTTTGGTGATAACTTCATTCTCTGCATCAACTTGGCTACAATTCGCAGTAGTTTGGCAGACATTGCACCGATTGCTCTTCCATAAGGTGTTATAACCACCACTCATCTGTCAGTTTGTTGTACTGTGGTGGCTTGTATGTTGCTGAAATTCTGGAAGCTATGCCACAGGTATTTTGAATGCTAGAAGGGTCACCCATGGTGGACAGTTTTCAGATGAGCTTACAGACGAAGACAGATTAGAAAGAAAGAGAGATGGACGACTTCCAAATATTTAGTAACTGAAAATCTTATGAATAATAAGTGGAACACTGTCAGCATCAGATAACTGAATACTGAAATAATGAACAGCACCAGAATCTTATCAGCTACAGTGCCAGAAGACAAGACCCTCAGGTTGGAAGGCACTCAAAATCCGACTGGCAAAGAGCTGCCTCCTCAAAATAGAGATGACTGTGATGATAAAAATGGAGTAAAACCCTCAGGGCCTTCATTTGCTGATGTGGTACAACTCAAAATGAAGAGGTACAGCTGTAAACATGCATTAAATATCAGAACATGGAATGTATGAAGTATGAATCTAAAAAAAATTGGAAATTGTCCAAAAATAAAATGGAATGCATCAACATCGATATCCTAGGCATTAGTTAACTGAAACGGACTGATATTGGCCATTTTGAATCTGATAATCACATGGTTTATTATGCCTAGAATGACGACTTGAAGAGGAATGGTGTCACATTCGTCATCAGAAAGAACACATACAGCTCTGTCATGAAGTACAACACTATCGGTAATAGGATAATATCCATGCTCCTACAGGGAAGACCGATTAATACCACTACTATGCATATTTACACAGCAATCACTAAAGTCAGTGATGATGAAAGTGAAGAATTCTACCAACTTCTTCAATCTGAAATTGATCAAGCATGCAATCAAGATGTATTGGTAATTACTGGTGATTGGAATGCAAAGGTTGGAAACAAAAAGGAAGGATCAGTGGTTAGAAAATATAATCTTGTGGCAGAAATGATGCTGGAGATAGCATGATAGAATTTTATAAAACCAATGACTTGTTCATTACAAATACCTTTTTAAACAACATAAAAGATTACTTACACATGGACCTCACCACATGGCATACACAGAAATCAAATTGACTCCAAAGAGATGGTGGAAAAACTCCATATCATCAGCCAAAACAAGGCCAGGGGCAGACTGTGTAATAGACCATTAATTGCTCATGTACAAACTCAGGCTGAAGCTTAAGAAAAAATTTAAAAGTTCACAGGAGCCAAATTATGACCTTGAATATATCCCACCTGAATTTAGAGATCATCTGAAGAACAGATTTGATGCATTAGACACTAAAGACCAAAGACCAGAATAGTTGTGGGATGACATCAAGAACATCATACAGGAAGAAAGCAAAAGATCATTAAGAAGACAAGAAAGAAAGAAAAAACCAAAATGGATCTCAGAAGAGACTCTGAAATTTGCTCTCCAGTGTTAAGATGCAAAAGCAGATGGAAGAAGTAAGACGGTTTAAGGGCTGAACAGATCAAAGGTCAGCTTCAGAAGACAAAGTCAAATGTTATAACAAAGTGTGCAAAGACCTAGAGTTAGAAAACCAAAAGGGAAGAACATGTTTAGCATTTCTCAAGCTGACAAACCATTTCAACCATTTCAAAAGGCAGCATATGATCAAGAGCCAATGATCCTGAAGGAGGAACTTCAAGGTGCTTTGGCAAAGAATGAGGCACTGGGAATTGATGGAATACAAATACAAATCTTTCAACAAACTGATGTGGCACTGGAGGTACTCACTCATCTGTGCCAAGAGATTTGGAAGACAACTACCTGGCTAACTAACTGGAAGAGATCTGTATTTGTGCCCATTCCAAAGAGAGGTGACCCAAAAGAATGCGGAAATCATTGGACAACATCATTGATATCCCATGCAAGTTAAGTTTTACTAAAGGTAATCCCAAAATTGCAATCAGACATTGACAGAGAACTTTCAGAGGTTCAAGCTGAATTCAGAAGGGGATGTGGAATGAGGGATATCATTGCTGGCATCTAATGGATCTTTGCTGAAAGCAGAGAATACCAGAAAGATGTTTGCCTGTGATTTGTTCACTATGCAAAGGCTTTCAATTGTGTGGATCATAACAAGCTATGGACAACATTGCGAAGTATAAGTATTCTGGAACACTTAATTGTGCTCATGAAGAACCTGTACTTAGACCAAAAGACAGTTGCTTGAACAGAACAAGGTAACACCAAATGTAAAGTTTAAAATTAGGTAAGGTGTGTGCCAGGGTAATGTACTTTTTCATACTTATTCAGTCTGTATGCTGAGCAAATCATCCAAGAGACTGGACTATCTGAAGAAAAACATGGCATCAGAATTGGAGGAAGACTCATTAACAACCTGCGATATGCAGATGATACAACCTTGCTTGCTGAAGGTGAAGAGGACTTAAAATACTGATAAAGATAAAAGACCATAGCCTTCAGTATGGGTTGCATCTCAATGTAAAGAAAACAAAAATCCTCACCACTGGACCAGTAAACAAAGATTGAAGTTGTCAAAGACTCCATTTTGCTTGGATCAACCATCAACACTCATGGAAGCAGCAATCAAAAAATTAAATGATGTATATTACATTAGGCAAATCTGGTACATAAGATGTCTTGAAAATGTTGAAGAGCAAAGATGTCAGTTTGAGGACTAAGGCTTGCCTGACCCAAGCCATGGTATGTTCAATAACCTCATATTCATGCGAAAGTTGGATAGTGAATAAGTAAGATGGTAAAAGAATTGTTGAATTTGAGTTATAGTGTTGGAGGTGAATATTAAAATTACATGGACTGCCAAAATAACAAACAGATTTGTGTTGGAAGATGTGTAGCCATACTTTGCCTCTCATACTTTGGACATATTATCAGGAGGGACCGGTCACTGGAGAAGGATATCATGTTTGGTAAAGTGGAGGGTCAAAGAAAAAGAGGAAGACCCCCAATGAGATGCATTGGCATAGTGGTGGCAGTGATTCTCAGGCATAGCAATGATTGTGAGGTTGACCCAGGACCAAGCAGTATTTCATTCTGTTGTGTATTGGGTCGCTATGAGTCGGTAGTGACTTGCTGGTATCTATTACTACTACTAATGTGATACAATGTAATTACCTCCATGATGAGATCTGATATACTGTAATCATCCAGGATAAGACCTGATATAGTGTAATTACTTTGGTATTGAAATCTGAGATGAGCAGTCAGTCAGTTGAAAGGTGAGTTTCCTTGGTGTTGTGGCCTGCCTCCAGTATATAAATGGATGTTTCATCAAGATTCTCTCTTGCTGTGGATCCTGCATCTGACTGATCATCTGACCTTTGGTTCTTGAGATTTGAGCCAGCTGCTACCACCTACCAAGAAAATGTTGGGACTTGTCAACTCCCACAGCCATGTGAGACTTTAGCCAGCCATCTGGCATGCTGACTTTTTGCTGGTCAGCCCTTGCAACTCCATAAGGCAGATGAAGCATCCAGCCTAATGCCTGGTTCACAGCTTTGGGACTTGCCAAAGAGACAGTCATTCAAACAGAAAAAGGGGATACTGCATGGTGTGTATCAGGGTTGTATCAGAAGTGTGTATCAGGGTTGTATTCTTTCACTATACTTATTCAATCTGTATGTGGAACAAATAATCTGGGAAACTGGACTATATAAAGAAAACAAAGCTTCAAGATTGGAGGAAGACTCATTAACAACCTGCAATATGCAAATGATGCAACCTTGCTTGCTGAAAGCAAAGTGAACTTGAAACACTGATGCAGATCAAAGATGCAGATGTCTTCAACATGGATTACAACTCAACAAAATAGAGAGCCTCATAACTGGACCAGTTAGTAGCAGCATGATAAATGGAGGAAAGATTGAAGTTGTTAAGGATTTTATTTCACATGGGCCCACAATCAAGGCCCATGGAAGCAGCAACAGCCACGAAATCAAATGACATATCTGCTGCATAAGATCTTAATCTGATAAAAAGCAAAGATGTTACTTTGAAGCCATGGTATTTTCAATCACCTTATATGCATGAGAAAGCGGGACAATATTTAAGT